AAAATTCGTGGTTTGCCCGAGCACGGGCTAATTTTCAGCATCACACGCGTGTACCAAGCGCATTCACGTGATCAGGCACGTGTATGACACACATACACACATACATACGGATTCGCATTCGGAGAAGTCAGGGCGTGCAAAACGTTATGAGACTAAACGCGAAACGCGAACTGGCGTACGGTGGCGCGCGCGCACGTTCACGCAGGACACACACGCACGCACGGAGAAAGAAGCACGTGTGGCGGCACACGGACGCGAAGGTGTATTGAATCGACGAGTATCATGCAGTTGACAGCTAGAGCTAATTGAATCTTGACTCTATCTATCTGTCGACTCGAGCTGAGACTCGACCGCCGGCGCCGCTGCGAATTGCATTTCCGTTCGACAAAATCGTTCGCGCTCGAGGATTCTATCTTCTCCGTTAATCCCTCTTGGTTTTTTGTAATGTAAAATTAGACAGCAGATCCGTCCGATTACGAAACTGTAAATGGCTGTTCGTCTCCGTGTTGTTATTACTGCCACTGTTATTCGCCACTTTTTTCCCCCATTCTTGTTCGTTACATTTCTTCTGTCTTCTTCCTCTTTTTTTTTTTTTGGAGACAGAAACCTGGAAGAACGTACAGTTTGTTACTCGGACTTGTAAGTTGATCGTGAATTCGAGATTTGAGGTGTGTCACGTTGAACATGATAGAGTTAACTTCGCGTCTCATCTAATGAAAAGAAAGTTATTACATTGTTAGAAGATATTTATTCCAAGAAATACAAACCGAATTGTACGAAAGACTGAATATTCGTTTCACTTCTTCTTCTTTTTTTTTTTTTTTCTATTTATCGAAATACGATACAGGATGTTATAAAGAACCGTAAAGGCACAATCGTTCAGAGGGAATTTTTTTTTTTTATTGAGAACGAAAATTTCTCTTCACCATAAATTCAATGGAAGGTTTCCGTGTACCAGACTATTCAGTAAGGTCAATGGAGATTCTTTCGATGAAATTTTAATTGGAAAAGAGTAAAATATACTTCGGCGAAGATGCAACACAATGGTTGTAGATCAAAGGCAAACATTTAA